GACTTGGGCCAGTCCGATTTTAAAACAAACAAGCCCAAACAAACTCAGCCCAAACCCCATGTAAACCCGGTCCAGACCAGCTGGCCTCAGGGGGCATTCCAAACGATACCGTTTTACTGTAGTCCGATCTGGGCCGTTGATCTCAAATTGATCAACGGGCAAGATCAATTCCCCATAACCCACTGAGAAACCCGACCCGTTTCCACTCAGACCGACCCAAACCCCTTTTGGATGAAACGACACCGTTTCCCCATCAGATGAAAGATCTGGGCCTTCCATCTTGCCTCATCCAACGTCCGAGATCAACCCACCCATTCCATATATAAGCCCCTTAACATACCCTGCCCCCCTATCCAATACCCCAGCCTTCGTCTCCACAGACCCTTCCCCTCAAACCCTAGCCGCCCTCATCTCCCTTTACCAGAAATCCGGCGGCATGAACGCCGGTGACCTCGCCCTTAACACCATAGAACCCCCTTGCCATCCGGAACANTACCAGAAATCCGGCGGCATGAACGCCGGTGACCTCGCCCTTAACACCATAGAACCCTCTTGCCATCCGGAACACGGATCTGTTAACCACGTAGTTCGAATACCATCCCACCTTCTCGAATCTTCATTTGAAGATTCGAGTCAAAACTCGATCTACACCGTTTAACCCCAGCTTCACACCAGACACTCCCNGCATTCTTGCACTCGAGCCTGTTCTGCTGTGTTACTTTGTTTGCTGCTGTTACTTTGTTCCTGCTGCTGCTGATTTGCTCTATCTTCTTCCTCTTCTTCTGTTGTATTCAACATCCAGGTACACATTTCATACTGATGTAACCATGAAAGGCATGAATTGAAAGATCTGAAGAATGTTTAATCATCTATTGCCTTACTTACAGCTTTTTGCGAATATCGTTAAAGTTATATAAATTCTTTTATTTGTAGCTCAATAGAAAACACATTAGTAAGTTTGTACTTAATTGAAAATATCCTGGCCTAAAAATGCGATATGGTTTGTTGGCAGTACCCGTGATGTAGTCATATGATTTATGGA